GAAATATATTTTTGAAATGTTCGGACAAAATGCATACAATATAATAGAAGCATAAACGAAAGGTGCAAATCATGACCCAGAGAAACATTCCCTATAAACTTTTCGAATATATGTTAGTTAACTCCCAGCAGACAGAAATGTTGCAACTCTTTTAAATCAAACTTTGCAAATCGCCCGACAGCAGCTTTATAGCATATCTTACTCACACTCTCAAAGGGGCGTTAAGGGGCAGCGGCTGACCGCAACCTTCTTATGCCGACCCTAACGAGGGGCAACAGCGGCTACCTCAAGTCGAAGTTCAAGCGTTGGCAGCTGATTTTCAATGCTGATGACTTTTTGTTGATTTGCACGCCCAGAGGACGTTGCTGAGCGTATCATAAACATGAACTTCCGATTGCGGCCGCTGCTCAAGTGGCAAGTGCCACGAGCTGCCGCAAAAGCCATCAGGGCACATAATAAGAAGCTGAAGCAAAAAATATATTTAAAAAAAAAAACCTGAGCAGCTGAGCCACAACAGCTGGAGCTCTGCAGTTAAGCAAACAGGTGCCCAAGTGTCCGACAACAAGCTCGTCTTCTTCATATCCGCTGTCATCGACGGCCTGGGTCAGCCGTTGGGGAGAGAGCTCAAGCGGAAGGGCGCGTCGCTTTGCGGCTCCAAGTTCGATTGCGAGCTGGATTAGCAGCCGTGGCCTTCAAGGCAGGTATCGCTGGGAGCCCATTTGTCTGCGACCTTTTAGCACAAAAAACCCACACAATAGAATTAGTCGAAATATTGCAAATTTTAATTTGCATGCGATCTTGGGTATTCATAAGGTTTCGCTTAGATATCGCAATTAATTTTCAAAAATTCCCAAAGTTTTCAGCTGAAGTGGCCTTCAGAGCGTAAGATATGGGGATCATAAAACCATATTATGGTGAAGATGGAATCGGAATTTGTTAGATGAATAACAATTAAGGCGAATACTTAGAAAATTTAAATAAGATTCGTTTAGTAGAGACAAAATATTCTGAATGAACTTTAAAGTGTAAACTAACTAAAAGCTGATCAACTCGGCTAAATCTTTGTATTGCTTGTAATTCCCAAATAGTTGTAGCTGCGAACTGCATACCAGGAATTGTTTATGTAGAGTCGGTAACAAGCTCTGCTGATGACATTCTGCTAACTCTGGGTGTTAATAACTTTGACCTCGAACTGGGAATTTCGAATTTGTTTAAGAACTGTTCAAAACTCAAAAATATATTTTAGACAGTTAGATGTATTAAATTATTTCAAATTTGCATGCAATTAAATAAAAATTAATAGCTGTTGCAAAACTATTGCCAGGAAGACAATGTGGCGACACACAAAAAATTATTTCAGAAATACATAGACTAAATAACCATAAAAATTTAAAATCTGAGCCGTGTTGCGACATTAACGCAAACCTCTAGAAGAGTTCACAAAGAGTCTCAGCTCAGTGGGAAGTTCGCTTGGCAAAGGCTTTCTTTCATATATTTTAAATTTCATTTTCCATTGAAAAGATTTTATATATATTTGTTTTGTCTGCGTTTTGGGCATATATGTGTTCATGCATATTTGTCTTGTCTACGTTTCCATAATTATGATGATAAATTAACGCAAAGTGATTTATTGTGCGAAATATTTCTGTGTATTCGGTACATTTTTCCACACAACGAGTTCAGGCCAAGAACATGTTTAATAAGCTTTAGTCGGCAAACGAAATAACGACCTTTAAAGTTAGCTTTGATCAAATTTTCACTTTTATATTGTTTTCATTTACAGAGTTGTCAACGCGTAGCATTTACTTTCAATTTTCAATTACATTTGCGACACACACACACACACACACACCTGACACATTAGCAACGCCTGCAAGATATTATATCTAATGCATAGCACACAATAAATCAGCCTTAAATGCCAATTTAATTTTGTAGGGGTTGGGAAGGGCGCTGCGGTGAGCGGAAGTGGAAATAAAATATTACCGCAACATTTTTGTTGGCAGCAGCAACCGCAAATTGCGCGCAATATAAAAATATATGAAAAAAAAACTCTTTCTTTTTAAAAATTCGGTTTTCTTGCGACTAATAAAATAAAATACTCCCAAGCTCAGCGATAGAAAAAAGTAAACCCCGAAACGAAAACTCTTAGGTACGTTTTTGCTGCGACAATGCGAAAACGAGGGCTGCCACAAAGGTTGTTGAGCCTGAAGTGGAAAAATATTAAAACTAAAAAACAAACCTAAATTAAATAATATATTTAAGCGATATAGCTTATGGCGTCAAAGGCAACTTGATCATATCTTCTGAAATTTGTAGAGCTCATAAAATATATCATAAAACATAAATAATATATTTAAGCGATATAGCTTATGGCGTCAAAGGCAACTTGATCATATCTTCTGAAATTTGTAGAGCTCATAAAATATATCATAAAACATCTAGACATCTTCGAAAAACCGTTTTTTTTTTTTGAGGCTATTTAATAGCTTGAGATAAATAATCGATAAGATTAACAATTCGTATTTAGAAAGTGAAGCTCTTAATATCTCTCAGATATGGATATATGGATTTAATAATAATAATAATAATATAAACCTTTCCACGATGTTTAACAGCTGGGCAAATACACAAAATTCGAGTCGTCTCTCACATAATGTAACTTCTGGAATTACCCTCGAGGGGTATTTAGCATTAGCCACACTTCAATACTTATTATTTCGCTGGCTTTTGTTGAATGCAGTGTTGCAAAACGATTGCAGTCGCGCAATCGTCTCGCTTTTCATTTAATTTCGTTTTAAGTAGAAAACGAATGCAATTGAAAAACGATTTGAGTTGAGTGTGGCATTTATGTTAATGTCCATTTAACTACAAATTGTGAAATGTTGCATATAATTTGATTGCAACATGCCACATCCATTTGCAGTGTATATCAAATCCAAACGAGTATTTATGTCAGCAGCGGGCAGCCACGGCATGGGTTAAGTTAAAGAACCCAACCGCCCGCTGTTTATAAACAATATCATTTACAAAAACATTTACACTAGCTTCTAGCTAGGCTCGTATAACCGAAAACTTTCATATTCTCAATGCATAGCAGACGCACACAAATCAATCGAGCCATAAATGTCATCAGAATGTCTAAATTAGGCTTGGAACGACGAAAAGCTATGCAATCCCACGTTGAACCTGCTGCGCTTTGCATATGAAAGCCGAAGACTTGGGAACTCTCATATAATATTTACAGTATTTCTTATGAAAACAGATTTCTAGGGTTTTCGTTAATATCGTATTAGAGGCACTCTAAAGCCACTTCCGCTGTTTGGTTTATTTATTCTTTTTGCTTCTATATGAGATAATGTCGAATAAGGAAAAGTACTCAGTTTTACAACATTTTGTCCTAGAGACGATCCCATTTTTAAATTCATAGCGAAGCCTATCCCAGCCAAAGACTTTCCTTTCTCTTAACACATTAAATCTATTAAACTGAACCACATATAAGCACATATAATATTTTGTTCTTGCTTTTATCTGCTGCTGACTATGACTCGTTGCAAGGTTTGATTGTCTTACATAAAAAAAAATGCATTTAGTCGCAGTAGAAACAATTAGTACAAGCGGAAACAAGAATAACATTAGGTTAGGACACTGCAACTAATCGAATTGACTTAGGCATATGCAAACCTATTATAAAACTGAGAGATCGTCTAAGACGTGGCTTAATACAATATCAGGCATCAACATGCTGGCCATGGCAAGAGCACAACTGTTGATATGCTGTAAGTATTCGAAATGAATTTAGAAAATAAAATAAAATTTCAATATTTTGATCAATTTTGATTCCAACTAGGTCTTTGGCTAGTACTTGGCTCCAAGTATGTCCATATGTCACCGTGCAAGGAGCATGGTTCACATCGTAAACAAGATGTCGATTACCAAGAAGATGGTCAACGTCGCCATGGCAAGACAAAAGAGTTGTCGATAAAGATTAAAGTATACCAACCAGAAAATGAACATGAGAATCCCTGTCATACGAATGAAGAGAGCGATTGCGAACAGTCCGAAAATGGAGAGAATCAGCAGGATAATAGGAATGAGAATCAGCAAGAGAATCAGCTAGAGAATCAGCCACAAAATCAGAATCCAGAGCAACTAAATGATTTCCTATGGATTTTCAAGTATATAAGCCATTGGCAACTTCCTTTGCCAACATATACAAATTCTCAAGTATCCAGCCTAAGAATCGAAACTAGCACAGGAACACCTGACAATTCCGGAGAGAGTCAACCGAAAGCCACAGCAATTCCACCAGCTTATGGCGGCTGCTTAGCTTTCTGTCCTTAAGAAACGTTAACAATTCAAGAAAGCACAACTTGATGTATATCAATAAAATATCTAACCCTGTCTATACATATATTCTGAATATTTATGCTAGTTGCTGACATCCTGGTTGACTATAAAATATGGCAAAATCTTGTTTATGATTATGATTATAATATATTTTATTTGCTTTTAAGGATAAATTGTTTATCTAATAAGACTATCAGAGAGCTGAGTACCAGCCTGAATCCAATAAAATCTTTATCTTTTATACAGAATAATAAAATGTTACCATATTATATAGACTTATGATAAATATATTATATTTAACCCATATACGATATCTCTGGATTTCATATCTATAGTTAAATCCGACGCACAACATTTTCAACTTTTTTCAACTTTCCAGTCTGTCTGTCAGTCAATAATATTTTAGATCTAGATGCAGCTAGATCGATTAAAGATATTCCAAATTTTCAAGCTTATTGAGCAGTAATATATCAGTTAAGGACACGCAACCAAACAAAACGGAACCAACCTAATTAGCATGAGGAAACGGATTATATTAAATTGCTGAAATATTGAACATATCTTTGACCTTTCATAAAAGGCATAGCGAAAAGTAGAAAAGTTATCCAACCAACCGCAACAAATACCAATCTTTCTCGGTTAAATCTACAGAAGCAACAAAATTAAAGATACACATTCACTTACTCTATTCTGAGAGTTCGAGCAAAATGCTTATAAGCAAGGTTATTCTCTTCCAAATATGCAGTAAGTACAAAGAAAAAATAAAAATATTTTAAATGAAACTTGAGAATTAAATAAGGCCTGAAATAGGTTATTTCCTGTTAGTTGAGCTAACACACGGCAACAATCAGGCATTTCATCGGTCTAAATTAAGGACTCAAGGAAGATCTGGCGCCAAGAGGGTTAATAGATGCATGCAATTCAAGAATTTATTAAAGCAAAAAGGTAGTCCGGCAGCAGAAGCACCTAAAACTTCACCGTGTAAACTCAAAAAAATCAAGAAACAAAAATGTACGCATCCCGCATTGCATGGAAACTACAAAGAGCCAGTATACCCGACGCGTGGAGGATATTCAGAATATGAAAGACCCGCTCCGGCGGCAGCAAGCGTTCAGTCGGTTCAAACACTGTCTTTAAATCTACTATGGAAGCTGATTGTTCAAAAAAATTATTCTCATGGGTCTCCAAAAAACATTTCCTCATCATTTATTCACTCGGTTAAGCTTCCCAATGTGAATGATAATTTCTCCTCGCCAACGGAACCATCTACCAAATCAGAAACAGAGGCAAGTTCCTTGGATTCTACTTCACCATCCTCTTTGAATATTCTTCCATCGAATAATAAGCAGGATTCCGCAACGGATAGTCAAACAATTCAATCACTGACTTTAAATCTATTATGGGAGCTGATACTTCAAGGGAATGATTCTACTGTATCACCTAAGAACATTTCTTCATCATTTATCCAATCGGTTAAACTTCCTAATGTGAATGATAAACTCTCCACGTCAACCGAACCATTTACCAAACCAGAAACGGAGGCCTTAAATCCATTATGGGAGCTGATTTTTCAAGGAAATGATTCTACTGTGTCGCCAAAGGACATTTCTTCATCATTTATTCAATCGGTTAAACTTCCCAATGTGAATGATAATCTCTCCACGTCAACCGAACCATTTACCAAACCAGAAACGGAGGCCTTAAATCCATTTTGGGCGCTGATTCTTCAAGGAAATGATTTTAGTGTGTCGCCAAAGGACATTTCTTCATCATTTATTCAATCGGTTAAACTTCCCAATGTGAATGATAATCTCTCCACGTCAACCGAACCATTTACCAAATCAGAATCGGAGGCCTTAAATCCATTATGGGAGCTGATTCTTCAAGGAAATTATTCTACTGTGTCGCCAAAGGACATTTCTTCATCATTAATTCACTCAGTAAAGCTTCCTAATGTGAATGATAATCTCTCCACGTCAACCGAACCATTTACCAAATCAGAAACGGAGACCTTAAATCCATTATGGGAACTGATTCTTCAAGGAAATGATTCTACTGTGTCGACAAAGGACATTTCTTCATCATTAATTCACTCAGTAAAGCTTCCTAATGTGAATGATGGTCTCTCCACGTCAACCGAACCATTTACCAAATCAGAATCGGAGGCCTTAAATCCATTATGGGAGCTGATTCTTCAAGGAAATGATTCTACTGTGTCGCCAAAGGACATTTCTTCATCATTAATTCACTCAGTAAAGCTTCCTAATGTGAATGATAATCTCTCCACGTCAACCGAACCATTTACCAAATCAGAATCGGAGACCTTAAATCCATTATGGGAGCTGATTCTTCAAAAAAATGATTCTACTGAGTCGTCAAAGAACATTTCCTTATCATTTATTCACTCAGTTAAACTTCCTAATGTGGACGATAGTCTCTCCACGTCAACAGAACCCTTTACTGAATCAGAAAGGAAGACAAGTTCCTTGGAGTCTACTTCGGCATCAACTTTGAGTATTCTTCAATCGAACAATAAACAGGATTTCGCAACGGGTAGTCAAATAGTTCAAACTTCCCAAATAGCCCAACAGCTTCCTGAAAACCCTGATTTAACGAAGCCTTCATCAATTGTTCAATCCATTCGAATTCCTGATTTAAGCAAACCGCTTTCTCAATATAAAGGAAACGCGAGTTCCTTGTACTCTGCTCCTATTTCTTCATCATCAATTATCCACTCTGTCCAATTTCCTGTTATTTCTAATCCCTCAAACTTTGGTCCTACACCTAAAAATGAGTTCACTTTACCATTTACTAAATCAGAAATGGAGACAAGCTCCTTGGAGTCCACTTCGTCGTCACAGTTAATTCTTCTTCCATCGAATAACAAGCAGGATTCAGCAGCGGGTAGTCAAACAGTTCAAACTTCCAATTATGGCCAACAGCTGCCTGAAAGGAATTCTCAAACAGATTCATCAAAGTCCGCATCAATTGTTCAATCCATTCGTGTTCCAGATATAAACAAATCATCAATGTTCCACTCTGTCAAAGTTCCAGTTATTTCGCATTCCCTAATCGTTGGTGCTGCACCTGAAAATGAGTCCACTTCAACTACAAAAAATCTAGAATCCGAGCGGCAACCTCTGGCAACTGATATCGTAAAGTCTGCTTCATCAATAGTTCAATCACTTAAAATTCCTATTGGGAACGACCGTTTATCGCCATCATCGTCAACCATTCTTCCATCAGTTCATAAACGTAGTTTACCGGAACTCCAAGCTCGTTCTCCATTAGTCCCTAATGAAATTTCCGCAGAAATTCTTCAAGATTACGTGTAACTCTGATAAAACAAATCAATTTAATCAAAATATAATGTCCGATTCCTTGATCACAATATCCCAAGCAACTATTACACAAACAATAATATTTTGGTAAAATCTTCATTTCCTGATATTAAACATCTAATAGGGAAATAAGTTACTTGTAAAAGCTAATCCATTGAATACCGATTTATGATTGTGCAATAATAAAATTCTATATGTGCTTAATATTGTATACAAAAACTGACTTTTGGTAAGCTGATTGACACAAGCTCCTCAAATAGAATTGTATACGCAATATATGTTAATAGATATTAATCTATTTCAACCTACAGTAAAAGCTAATAAAATGAAAGAACAATTTCTAATCTAATGACAATTGCGCTTTTATCGCAAGCCCTTCTCTTGGAACCTTTAAAGCGAACATTCAATAAACTTTACGCATTAAAAGTTTATTGCTATAAAAAGGCGAGAATTTCAATCAATTTTATAGCAAAAATGCACCATAAAAATGCTATTGAAATGTCATATAAAATGCATTGAATAATTATATGAAGCGCATTTGCTGCTCAGCCACAGTTCGAAAATGAAGCTCGTATTTGTGCTCTTGATTTGTTTGGGTAACTAAACCGTATACAAATATTGTTTTTATAGTTATATATAAATATATCCTACTCTAACCACATAGTTGCGCTGCTGCAGCAGGTATCTTATGATAGAAATCAAGTTTTGGCCTCACATAAAGGTAAGAGTACCACCAAGGAGCCATGGAACCACGCGAATGACCAAACAACCCATAGACATCCATACAAAATCTCTGAAGATATATGAAATGCAACCACTTCAAATATAATTGAAATGTTCACTAAATATATATAAAATAAAAATTAAATTTTTAAAGCATTTTAAAAAGTGCACAAAGTACTGAAAATTCCTTAAAAAACTGTATTTCTTTTGGTTGACGCTTAGCAGCAAAATTTTTCTCTTTTTTCCAAGACGTTTTTACAATTTACAAATTCATCGAACCATGAACTTTTTTTTTAATATCTTTAACTAAGTTACATCAGATTGAGAGATTTGTTTGGTATATTTATCAAATTTTCGTATGAGTATCAAAATTGCTTTATATGTAGATTTATAATATAATATAAAATTAAAATATATAATAATAAAATATGTAATATTGATGTACACTTTTTATTATTTTTCCTTCTATTTGCATGTCCTCAATAGACTCTTTGTGTACATGCAAATTTCTTATGCAAAGTTATATTGGCTTCTATGGTCACTTCTTTGCTCACTTTATAAATGTCTAATTTACACTTCAATATGTCCTCCATGGTTTCCTAATGTTAAATGTACTTAAGTAAGTCCTATTTTTATTTTAAGAGCTCTGCTCAGACTTTGTGCTTTTATAGTTATGTACACGCACATGTCCTCTATGGTCTTTTTTTTTTAAACTGAGCGGAAGCACAAATATTGACATGAGCTTGTTTTCTATTCGAATGAAATTCCACGTGCCACATGACCTGGCTTCCTCTTTGGTATATAGCAGATGTTCCTTTACGAACGCCTGTTGTACGAAAATTTTCTTGGTAAACTTGACCCGAGTTCAGAAAATAATGATAGAAGAAAATCAAAGTTTGCCACTTGTTGTTATCGTAATTGAATATAATTAAATTAACTTTGAAGTGGAGCACAGCCAAATGCACTCTTTCGCAAGGTCCATTTGGCGTTTACCTTATCAGCAATTATGAAGAGCCATAAAAGTTAATTGATTCTCGCCACATTGTTTGGACCAAGTGGCTGCAATTCTGTATAAAAGCGGCCCAAACGCTGTGCACATTCAGGCCCACTCCAAGCGAGAGAGCAAGAGAGCAACATGAAAGTTCTAACAGCAGTTCTATTGACATGTGGTAAAGTAACAAATAGGCTCAGCCAAACGTTAAATAAACTAAAATCAGTCTCGGTGATGCTTATAGTTGTGGCGTCCCTTGCGCTGCTGCACAGCGTCTACGGCACGCCGGTGCCAACCCCTATTCCGGCTAATATTACGGAAACCAAAGCGCCACCCAATGACGAGCCGCTGCTTCTGGAGACGCCGACAGCCAATCCATCTTTGCAGTTGCCTCAGAACACTTTGATGGCCGCGAATGACCCAGATGTCGCTGCTAGGAGCTCCTTTAAACCCATTAGCGTGCCTCTCTCGGCCAATGCTGAAACTTCGGCCGTTGCAACAGCTGCAGGCGAACAGATTTCATTGCAGGGAAACCTGGATGAGCTAGTTCCCGACGAGGCTGCCGAGCCCTCAACGGCTTAGGGCATAAAAGTCGCAAAAGCAGCTTTAAGGCAAATCCACACAACAGCAAGCAGAACACACACACATGCACATACATTTACATATAACAGATATAAGCATATATAGCTTATATAACTATGCTTTATGTACCTATCGCTATATACACATTATGTATTTCTATCAGCACGGGCGATTAATAAATTGCATTGAAAAAGGAATTTAATAATTAAAGATCATAATTACAGCGTTGATCAACACTAGGTTACAGTGTTTTCAGTTAACAGCCGCCTTTGACTAGTTACCCACACTGTTCACTGGGGCATGGCAGTCACATGGTATTCACAGGGATCAAGCTACCGACCGGATTTGTATAAAAACAAAAGAGTACGTGTAACCCAAAGAAGCCGTATCTCAAATACCCTAACAGCCATAGGGCATTTGATATATATTATTAATCTAATCGAAATTGACCTGATTTTATCGAAAAGAGAGCAAAGAGAATTATTTGACTTAAAAAAGATTTATGTGATATCGCAAACCATGTAGGTTATACAAAATTTTAGCTACAAGTGTGAAAAGTAGTCAAAAGAAACTGAAAGCTAACATGTATAAAATCTTTTAATATCCACCGATATGAGCGGAAAACAGGTGGAAATCACAATTTAAAACACAAAAAATATATTGTCCATTAAACTACTTTTTTAAAAATATAAGACAATGCCTTTAAAGACTATCGCTCTGATAAAGAATATGTATACCCTGTATAGACGCAGTTATGTCAAACACGTATCACATGTTGTTTTAAAAATTCATACTACTCTAAGCTCAGGCAACAGAGAAGAAGAAGTACAAAAAATCACTTACAAAGAGGAAGCGTCAGCTCCAACAAGTTTTATCAATGAAGTTACGAATCGGTGTAAGGTTGACGACGGCGACAAGAAAAACAATGCTGGCAACTCAACCACAATACAATGTCGACAACGGAAGCAGCAGCAGGAGGGGAAACCATAGACCACATAAAACCGCACAAAAATTCATTGATCAATGGACAGGCCATGTAGTAGATGGGGTCTGGGCCTGTGTCTCGGTATCGGTCTCTGTCTCAGTCTCGGTGTTGCTCTCCGTCTGAGCTCAACCGCTGGCAGGGCCATCATTACAGATGTGATTTAAACACGTTCGTCGAATAAGAAACGATTTTGTTTTTGCCCCATCAATAATATAGGTTTATGTATTGTCGTTCTTGAGATATCAATTTGCATGTTAACACATCGTGCGAGCATCTGAATGACTGACAAATTGACAAAAGCCTAATGACTCAATCCTAATATGTAAACTAGTTGACTCTAAAGACGGCCCGTGTATGGGAAACCAAGCAAGATATATAAATGTATATGTATAGGCATTTATGCGTAGCATATGAAAGCTTTAGATTAGTGTATGAAGGGAATATGGAATAAGAATATGAATATAACAAGCGAAGTTTTGTGCCATTAAATATTTAAAATATACAGATTTCTATAAGAACTGACGGAAGTCGCATGCAAATCTTTGCAATATATCACAATAGTTAAATGTATTGAAATGCCATTTTGATTGTCTGTAAAAGAATTATTACCACTACCCGAAGCTAAAACCTAATCGTACCTATATTTAACTGTATTCAAATTTAATTTAGTTGGATTCGTCTTGCCCTTGCCTCTCTGCTGAGCGCATCACACAAACCATATACTCCATAACAAACAATACTCTTTATAGTACAAGCAATTACGCAATTTTAGTATTCAGCGCATAAAGTTCTTTATTAAAACATATTGTATTGGCTTACTAGAATACTAAACGGTCAGGCCTATGATGGGCATTTGTGGTTTGGAATGTAAATCATACCAATTTAAGCCTGCTCTAGCAAGCCCCAGAAACAGCGTCATGCCAAGAAAGACTAAAGGGTAAATAACTAATTTAATTAAATGTAGATTAATTTGAAATTATCATTTACTTTTGGTTGAAAGAACTCTCATGCCGATAAGTATTGTTAGCACAAAAGGACGCACGTAAATATTCAATGAAAGTGAAATCTGTTATATGAGAACTCAAACTTGAGTTTAAGTTACAATTTTTAATTATCTATGGTACAAACATTAACATTACTTATACAATATTAAACAGTTTATAACTGTAGCAATTGCAATTTTCACAGACGTTAGTTTCAACTGGTTAGATACATTTTTTTTTTTTTTTAAATACTTAAACCTTAAAGCGATTTCATGCTCCACAAACTTTAATTTGTATAACCACAAATTAGAGTTCAATTTAATTTGGGCCCACCTAATTACGTAAATGTGAACCGCAAATATATAAATATGTTATAAATATATTTGGCGTAGCGCAAAAGAAATATGAAAAACAATCAATACGAAATAAATTTGAAGTCGTTTGCAATTATTATTTGTGGTTGTTGCTTTTGCCAAAATAAGTAGCATAAGACAAAAAAACAACATCAAAAGCGGCATAATTAAAACAAATACGCATACCGTTTAATTACCAAAAAAAAAATATATATATATTAATAATGTTGCCGACAAAAACAATGCGTTATGCTTAATAACAAGCAATCAATGTTAATGGATACCAAAAACAAGAAATAAAACAAAATATGAAATACACAAAAAACCAAATTGGACTAACCCGAGAAAAAAACAGCTGAAAATGAAATACTCTTGCTGAAAGAATATTTGACAATATTGTACATCTTAACCTGAATCATTAAGATTAAGATTGAGGTATATAGTATATATAACATGATATTGCTAAAAATGTCCTAAATTGGAATCGATATCAGCTATGTATATGCTACACTCCGAACGAACTGATCTTCCAAGCTTCATTGATATCACCTTTATACTGAGCAATTTCTTATAGAAAGCTGCACAGACAGCTGATCGCTAGTGAATCGATTCAACTCTTCATCTACAAATTCGAAAATGTGACACAAAAATGTTAATATCCAAATTGGGTAGGGTATTGAAGTGACGCAGCTGTGCTTATAATCATTTGAGCAGCCATCAAAGAGTTAATAATAACAAGTGCCACTTGCTTTGGCGCCCAGAAGTCGTCGCTATGCTTATAAGAATCATAAAATATACTCTTCACTTTATTGGAGTAAACACTTGCAGTTGAAGACTTGAAACTTTAGACATTGGAAAATTGAGAACGTAACAAAAACGTATGAGAGAAATATTGTAAAAACGACTTAACAACTAAATATATATATATTAAGAATCAATATTAATATTTATATTAATTAATCAAAAGTGATAGAGGAATATTATGAACCTATTTACATATAAATAGTTCAGATGGTTGCAGTTCGAACTAGATTTTGTCGACAATGTTTGATTTATTTTTAAAATTATTCTTTTTCAACTATTTTTCAGTATTTTTGGTTAGTGTACAAAATGTGGCTGCCACTTGAATGCTTGGGAGCACATTTTGTGGTCTGTTTGTTTTGTTCACATAAATGAGAATATTCAAATTTGTCAACTGATGCGGGCAGCCGCCGCAGAACTCAACTGACTCAGGCGCTCAAAATTGCATAAAGCTCTCTGGAAAATTTCCCGCCAACCAGTTGGTATCATTAGAGCTAATCATGCTGAATGCTGATTGCTCTAATCAATGTGGCTTTTGCGCGGCAAATCAATTTGAACTCACACTTTCATGTTTTCACTTTCGATTCAACTAATTGAAAACAAATAGGGGCGTGCGGCTTCATATATAAGTGTGTTCAATGGAAACCGCAAAAATGACAACTGCACACAAAACACAACATCAATTACATTGGCGCAGGGAAATTGTAAAATTAATGACTCGAAATTGGGAAAACGTGAAGAGCGCCAGCTCCAAACCGCAAGATATAGATGGACAGGCGTGGGAGAACGCGAACAATCTGATTGACAGTGGGCTCCAGGTTTGCCCCAAGATGTGACAGCTGAATGCGCCAAAAAGAAAGACCAGTCCAGAGCCAGGCAGTGCTGCCAGCAGAAAATAGCTAGTTTATCAAAATCAGTCTAGATCTAGCAAATATCGGAAATGGCAAGCCTGTGAAAACTGGTTACTTAGAAGATCTTGCCAAATTATTGATACTAGCATACTTTCAATAAGTCAGTCAAGGTCTATTAAAAATTGGAAAACCCTTTGCATGCATGCTGGCCAAGCATAGAACATTTTTCAAAATAAATAAAACTTTTGTTTATAAATACAACTAATTCGTTTTTTTTTTAACTATATATATATTAAGATAATTAGTTCCTGTTAACTCTGGCATATGCACTACAAGAAGAATCTTTTGACAAGAAGTTTTCAATGTAGATGAAGTATCATATATTAAATGAACACTTGATATATATCTTTTAGGGTACATTATTTTATGACTCTAGATCCAACGAAAAGGGCTAGATTTGTTTGAAATAAAAGCTGAATTGCCAGCACTATGACAGGGATGCGAGTGGTCCACTCAGTTTTATCGCTATTTCACGCTCGCGTGATTTCTGACCTGCCTTTCGGAGACTCGAGCCAGCTGATTCGCCATTGTTGAAATTAAAGTTGTTTTTTTTTTTTTTGGGACACGGCGTTGCAGAAATTCACGCATTCACGCACAGCTATCGATGAGGTGCCCCTTACATGACCGGCGGCTTAAAGCCAAGCAAGCAATTAACTGATTAGCTTTTGCCTCAGTACCAATTCCAGTTCCACTTCAACAGATCAAACAGTAAAACTAATTAATTGACTGAAAAGCCCGAATGACAAACATCAATAAAACTGCAGAAATATGAAAACACAACCTGGGCCATTGCGAAAGGTGAATGATCTTTAATGTGTATTGACAGGTTCAATTAATGCAGGGTTTTAAACAGTTAAAAATATATTTTTTATGATTAATTCAAGGAATTTATAGAAAATGTGCAGCAGAGATAAAACAAGTTGCACGCAATATGGAAATTGTACAATTAATGAAAATGTGCAACAAAAAAAAAATTAACTGAACCGATGTATGTTATGCAAAGCTGTAAATTATGGTGTATCAGATACCCTGTCGCTGGCACGAAATGTTGATGTTAAGCAGTTCGTAGAAAAAGCTTGAAAGTATTCCAATGCTTTTCCAAATTGCAGCGCAATAAAATATGTCCATAATCAGCTTAAATGCAATCGAATGCTAATTAATAAGCACTGGCC